GGGAATTGACTGTTCAATGTCTCCTCTGGAGCAAGACTGAAGCTACCAGGTAGCAGGTTCAAAGATGCATCAAAGGAGATGTGTTTCATATGTGTACAGAGCTCTGAGGCTAACCTACAGCAGGATGTTCTGGATTCTAAAAATTTACAGTGCTTCAAGAGAAATTTGAAGTGAAAAAAACCCCAACAAACAGAAAGAAACTCTTTCTGCTATTTAATACTAATGCCCACATATCTGGCAAAACCAATTCCCAAGCTGTAAATTGCTCTGTGCTAGGAGGGTGTTCTTGGAAAGTACCACTGGATGCTCACATGGCTTTCACACTCTAAATGGAGAATAATGGCTGCTATACATAGACATGTCTGAACCAGACAGGCCTTTAGTCTCACTCAGTGTGGTCAGTCCTGAGGACTTGATTCCTCTGTAAATTAACCTCACTGGAACTGTTGGTACAATTAGTAAGAAGAAAAAAAAAATCAGATTAAAACTTGGCTCACTGTATGTTGTAGGTAGTGTTAAAGAATGGAGATCTCATAGGTAAAATCCTGGATGGTTTTTATGCTTCTTGGTACATAGCATTTAGCATCAGTGTTATCTAGTGAGAAATTGTGCTTGAGTCTGGTAAAATCATACCTAAAATATTGGTTTTGATTTTTTTTTCAGGAGCTCTCTGCCAGGCTGCTGTCTATTCATAGTGATCAAGACCTAATTGTGGTGACGTTTAAAACTTTTGAAGAAATATGGAAGTTTCTAACCTACCACTCACTGGGTAAAGCTGTTTCACCATACAACAGTTCAATATGCTTTTTTTATTTCCCTGCACAAAATTCTTGATTGACCGGGAACTTGTTGAACAGGATTTTGAGATTCTTTGTATTAACTCCTAATAGCAGCAAATAATGTTCCTGAACTGGGCACTAGTGATAGTGCTGGAGAGATGCTCCAACCTCTAGGAGGACCTGCCTTTGGCCCAAAGCAGACAGCTGTCGTTCCTGGCAGTTATCTTGTCTAAGTTAGATACTCCAGAATCAGATCATATCTTCTTTCTAAGCAGTCTATTCCAATCTAGGTGGTTTTGCCCTCAAGTCTAACCTATTCTGTGACTTAAATGCTTTTACAGCTTTTTCTGCTCGCTGTAAACATGTCAAGGTTACTCCTCTTTCTTTGCACCATGCTAATACCTATTTGGAGACTTCTAATCTGCACTTCCACTCGGTGTTGTTTTCACTATGAAAATAAACTCTAATTCCTATAATCCTTCTTCACAGAGTGTATTTTCTAGACCTCTCTGATCATGTTTCCCACTGGGCTCTTCCAGTTGTTCCACATCTTTCCTGAATAGTAGTGAGCAAACTGGACAGAGGTGGTAAGGCTTCAGAGGAAATATCAAGTAAACCGGATTGCTTCACATGCTTTGCATGCTTCAGTTCTGTTTCTAAATCTGAGTGTGCCTTTTGTAACAATATGATGCCATTGACTTGAGTTCCATTTTTAATATCGCATAACTTCATAGGTCTTTTCTGAAGAATAGCATTTGAATTGTGTCTTTGTCTCTGTTTTGTTCACCGGATTTTTTTTCTTCTGTGTATGGAGAGCTTGTGTGCATTACTATTGAATTTGCCTGTTTCCATCAGACCAATTTAAAATAATTTTATTTGTAATTTCATGTTACTTGCTATTTTGTATTTTAAAATGCTCCTTAGAGAAATAGAAAAAATACCATTTTAATCCAATTTGGCAGAGAAAGCACAAGATGAAGTTAATCTTCTTAGTCAGTGCTGTGGCTAGCAGGGAATTGATTTAGCATCTTCCAAATAGCAGAGTAGCACCTTAATCACTGATCTGCCCACCTTTCCTCTTCATCATAATTTTTTGCACAAAGGATTTGCTAATGTACTAATGTAGGCCCTTTAGGTAATAATATACTGTCTATACCATGCTGATTATGATACACCAATATAGATCTCCCTGTAACTATCACATAGCTTTGAAAGCCCTAAGTCCTAATGTAAGTAGTCTCAGTTTCCAAGATCAAGCACTACCTTCTCGTGTTTTACATGACTCTGGTATGCATCATCATCTCTGTCCAAAAGAAATTATGATACCCAAGCACAGTATCTGCATAAATTGGCACAGCTGAATCAGGCAACAGAAATTTATAGAGAGATTATTTTTAAGATTATTTCCTGTTATCTGTTAAGTGATGCTAAGCACCTGTTGCTCAAAGCTTGCTAGTGATTATCTCTTTCAGACTCCAAAACTTTCAAATACACCTAAAGTATGGGGAACCCTTGTAAACAGAGGACATAGTCTGCTTTTTCAGCAGGCACAGGAAAGGTGTGCGCCTTTTAGGTGTAGTTTGAGAGCTAAGCATTAACAGTAGCTGTAATGCATGTGACTTAATGATGTAATTTTGCCAATACTATGTAGTAAAATTAGTCATACATTGTGGGTTAAGCAATAAAGGAGTTACCTGTCTTTCTGAAAGGCTATTTTCTTGTGTAATACTGCGAAGAAAACAAATTGCATTATTTTCCTAGGTTTTATAAATCATTGCATGGAGAATTTATTCCTGGATCAATCTTTCTGGCTTTATTCTCAAGAGGAAGAAGAAACAGGCATTGAAGTCTGTATAAATGAAAAATCATTAAATTTGATGTACAGAAGCCTGCTAGTACAGGAAGGTAAGGAAGGCTGTATATGCTAAGGCTAAACTTAGAGAATAAGACTTCTTTAAAATCCTAAAATAAAATATTAAGACCTATTCAAATACCTAATGAAGTTGAAATTTAAATCTATTGCCTCCAAATGCACCAGAAAGAGAACAGAAAGGAACAAACACAGATTATGTTCAGTGGGTTCATAGGGGGGTTAGAGAAATTCATGTACAACTGGTCCATAAATGGATACCAAAAGGATTAGGGAGGGATGCACGTTACAACTTGCTTAATATTATTGCAGATCCTGGAGAGGTACAGGAGAGGGATTACCAATAGTTGCCAGGGTCATGTGCTTCTCCTAAATAGCATCACCTGCTGCCACCATCAGAGATGATATGGAATGATGGGCTAGATGGATCATTGATTACTGCAATAGGAACATGCAAAATGTTGCAGTAGAAGGTTCTACACTTCATCAAACACCGCAGCTCTGATTTTTTTTTTTTTTTTTTTAATGAAAGAGAAACTAGACAGAAGGGTTTGAATATCTGACAATCAGAAAGAAAATTCTTGTGAAATCTCAAATTGCTTAGGGACATGGTTTCATAGTGGACTTGACAGTGCTGGGTTAACAGTTGGACTTGATGATCCTAAAGATCTTTTCCAACCTGAATGATTCTATGATTTTTCAATCTCTAAATACTTCTGATGCTCTTGAAACCAGTTTTAAAGTTTGTACGACACGAAAACATTACATAAAATGACACTGCTTTCTTTTTAGGGGCTTTTTTTGCTTTATGTCCTGGCAATCTGATAAGAAAGATAATGGCTACAGACAATGAAATAAACACTTATTTTGAGACTGGGGCTTTTACTGAAGATGTAACAGGTGGATCTGTGGATGGTGACATGACCGTGCTGTCTAACACTTCTCTGGAGCCATTGATCCCTTTTCATCAGTGGGTACCTGACTCTAGCTACCTATTCCACCTGCATCTGCTTCATATGTATGCGTGCCTGCTTAGACATGGGTGTCTCTAAAGCATAGCTTGTTATGGAACATCAATCTTCCGTTAACACTGAGAACGAATGCTCTATTTACTTCCATACCACACAACTGAAATTAATCCAGACGCCTGCAGAGCAGCATTTAAAGATGGCTTACCATCTTGTGAGTTAGATATTGCTTTTTTTTTTTCTGCTGAGTTTGAAATGAAATCTGTTAACATTTCTAAAATAACATAAAGTGAGAATTTTCATTTTTCAGGATGCTTGGAAATGTGGATATTAACACGTGGGATCTTGGAAATGTGGATGAGAACAGGCTAGCAGTGTTTTTACTCAACACTATTGACAGGAGCATCCACCCCCTTAATGCAGTTTGTTTCGAGTTCATGTCCAAGCTCATGATTGTTATAAAGCTAAAATTACATCAATGGAGTTATCAATTGACTCAATTCAGGAACCACCAGAAAATCATTAATTCTTTGTGCTCTTAGTAGTTAAAAAGCTAGAATTTTTCTATTGACCTTGGGCAGGGAGAAATAGCATGACTTTCTCAGGTTAGTTTGACTGAAGTAACACTTCTTTTATTACTAATATTACTCAAAACATAGCTCTGTCTGAAATGTATGGACAGTGCTGAAATTGAAAGATAACTGTGGGAGGGGTGCATCTGTTTTCAAATTGATTTAAAATATCTCTGTTATTGTCACAACATTTAGTGAAGTGTTTTGTACACTAACTTCAATTTCATTTTCTAATTTCAGATGGTTTCTTAAAGGGTATTCTAATCCTATTGACTTTACATACAAAAATGAATCTAAATCCATCAGGAAAGTTGGTAAGAAACTCCATTCAAACATCAGCATTAAAAAAACCTCCAAACTTATTCTATGCTTTTGTTAGGACAGTCTCTAAAGGGTTCAATAACTTCCTTTCCATTGTATTAAGATGGGGAAAACAGCTTTCAAAATTACATTTCAGTAGAATCAGTGAGAGCATAAATCTCTGCCTAAACTTGAAAGGCTTCTCTCTCCCCTTTTTCCTCTTAAATACTGTATTAAGTAGATACACAAAGTACTAAAGAGTAATTATGTTGAAGATACCTCTGTAGATTTGATGACCAACTTTACAATAAGTAAATGTACTTATTGTGGCTCTTCAAAGTGTGTATTTCTTTACCTAATGCTTCCAGAGAAATAAAACTTATACAGATGGTCTGAGGTTAGAGAGTAAATATGGCTTATTTTCTACCATATATGCCAGTTTTAATACTATATTGACTGGTATATAACTGCATATTTATCCAATAGGGATTTTATTAGTTGGTTTAAATGTTTTCACTCAGGCCAAAGTTCAGAGCCCTTTATAAGATGGAAAGCAAGGACTTAAAACATTTCCTTTTGTTGCCTCATGATGGAATCTGCTAGAATTTTGAAAACATTTTAGATTTTGCTTTCTAATGGCTGAGAAATGAGGATTTTTGTGCTGTTGTTTATAATTCTAATTACACAAACCAAACCAATTAGGTTTGGATGGTTTAAATCTTGCCACATCGAATGTGCAACTCAAGTGTTCCAGGAATGTCTGTTGCTGAATACGTTCTGCTGAGTTGCCTTTCTATTGGGTGTATTTGTATTGTTAAATTACTTTATCTGCAAATATTATTTATCTCCTTATTACACAGCAATGGGATCCTGTCTAGCTGTGATGAATTATGAAAGTATTGTGTTGGAAGAGATGAGTTTCCAGGAAGGGGACAAAATTGATATCCTTGGCTACTTCATTGAATGCATGGAATGGTTCCTTGGAAGACATGTGTTTACTGGCCAAATAGGTTTTGTGAAGACATGTCATGTTAAACTGGACTTATCTAAAAATACGTAAGTGATGTGTATTTAACTCCTAAACAAAAAGACTTAGCCTCTTGAGCTTTAAAATGCTGAATGTTAAACTCTGGCTTCTTACTGGGAAAAGGGGTTCCTGTAGCTATTACACTTGGTTCAGTCTCTATTCTTTGGATCACAAGATCCACAAATCTTACTGTTGCAGAAGATTCCATTTTTACTGGTCTTTCAAGATCTATGGAAAGGCTTCCGAGTTCTGTTTTTCCTAGTACCCTCAATTACAGCCTTAAATTACTTCAGATGTGGCTCCTCTTAAAAATAGTTGCTCATAATGCAGAAAGAGACCTCTAAAAGTGCATTTCAGCATGCATTGGCACCGTGTAAATAAGATGCTTCTATTAATGTCTGGACTGTCTGCATGCTGAAAGGAGTTCTTCAGTGTTTGCAGGTCCATTTGATGTGTAGCTTTAAGCTTATATTAGAAAACCAGTACCATAATGTCCTTAAAGCTTTGTGCTTTTAATACATTCTCTCATAAAATGCTATACCATGACACAGATAGACATAAAACTTATTCTGATATGGCAGAAACTGTTAGCTGCAATCATAGCTACTATCACTTTGCATGTATGTTTATAAATACGACTTACACTAATCTTGAACACAACAGGACCTATGGAGTAAAGGTTGTATTAGTTTCTCTAACAAGCTCCAATTTGACTGATCCAGTGAGCTCCTCAAGGCAAATCACCTTCAAATTTGCTCCTTTCTTTGTTAGACCACAAGACTTAGATTTTCTTGAAGCAGAAGAGCTATCTTTTTTTTCAAAAGAAAAAAACTTGGAAGAAGTGATACATTTGTTGAAGCAAACCACCATCACAGATGTTTGCTCTGTGTATCGAATAGGTAAGTGTGAGTTTTATTCCTTTTTACTGCACAGGGTACACGTGCTGTTCCTATACTCCTGTTATAACTGTGGGGTTTTTTTCCTATTTCATTGAGATTCCAGCCTTTACACCTACTTTGAAATATCTTAATATTCAGTTTGATCATAGGTATGGCAT